ATGACACTCGCGATCCTGCGAGGCGTTGCGACGTAGTACGAGGAATATACATCTGGCGTACGTCAATTTAATTAAACAAGTACGTTGAATAGTTTACAAATTTACATGAATTAATTAAGCAAGTACGTTGAATAGTTTACGTGAATCCAATTAATTAAGTATGTTGAGCCATTAACGAGAATTCAACTAAACAAGTATGTTGAATAATTTACGGTAAATTTAATGAATTTAATGAATTGAGTAAACATAAACAAAATAATAATAATAATAATAAAAATGTAGGAAAACATTTACCTCCATTTTGGGCTCGAACCCTAGCAAACCTACACACTTGTCCTGCCATTCTTGAGGTATGTGATCATAAGTCACTCCCCAACATGGTGTTCCATCGATCGGGAGACCAAATAGGACTTGTGTGTCCTGCAGTGTGATCGTCGCCTCCCCGAAATCAAAGTGGAAGGTGTGCGTCTCCGGTCGCCACCTTTCCACCAGACATGTAATGAGGCTGTTGTGCGTCATTACTCTGCCCATTCTTAACAGCGGCCCAAAACCTGTACGATCGACCACCTCCCAAACGCTGAGATGTTGTCTGTCCAACGCCCTCCAAAACTCAGTGTCGAAACGACAGGGTTTAACGAAGCCGTCACGACATCCCACTACATATTCGAATACCGCTCTCAACCGGTAGCGGGACTGAAGATATAGAAGGGACCCATCCTTCGGACCGGGATGCACACTGTAGCGCTGCTGTTGTGAGGACGACTATGATGCGAGGCGTTGCGACGTAGTACGAGGAATATACATCTGGCGTACAAATTTACGTCAATTTCATTAAACAAGTACTTTGAATAGTTTACAAATTTATATGATTTTAATTAAGCAAGTATGTTCAATAGTTTACGTGAATCCAATTAATTAAGTATGTTGAGCCATTAATGAGAATTCAATTAAACAAGTATGTTGAATAATTTACAGTAAATTTGATGCCGTATTAATAAGATGAAATAGCAATTTCCACTCTGTTGTGAAGATGGAATAAGTTTTACACACCGCCAAATAATTAAAGTACGTAATAAATTATTAGATAAGCTATGCGGTAGACATGCAAAGATAATTTAAAGTGCAAAATAATTATATAGTAGGCCATGTGAATTAAAAACGAAGATAATTTATAAAGTGCGAAACAGTTATGCGTTCACTAAGCGACAAACAGACGAAAATAATTTATAAAGTGTGAAATAATTATGAAATAAAAAGATAAATGATGAAGTGCGCAACAATTATGCGATGAAGTAAGCCACAGACAGACGAAGATAATTGATGCGAAAAATTATGCGGCAGACAGACGAAAATAATTGATAAAGACGTTGGACCGAGTTGAGGTCATTTTGCACTATCAATCGCCGTCTGTGAGACTCGTTCAAAAAGCCGCCCGAGACCAGCCATGGCGAGTGATGGTCCCAGTAAGAACCTGGAACCCAACTGTGACAAGGCTTGGGTTTCCAGTCTTCAGATTGGATCAGGCCAATCACCAGGTTTTTCAAGGTCCATTATGACGCCGTTTGCCCATATTTCCAATCTATCGGATCATGGAGGTTCTTCGGCGTCCATAGCAACAACCAGTGGACTTATTACCAAACCATAAGGTAGATAGATAGGGTACGAGATGGTACCGGCGATTTCGACGCTACAAAGCCCACCTCAAGAAGAAGGAAGGAGGTCGCTAGTGACAACAAAAGGTGCTCCAGCAGGCGAGCAGGTTTTGACGCTCACCAAGGATGAGCTCAACTGGATGATCGCAGAAGATGTTGAGGTTCGTTCAACCGCAGGTTTCAAGTGCAGTGAACCTTTGTACCGAAAAGGAGGGAGGAGGTCGAAATTTCCAACAACTCGGCCATGGGAGCTCAACACGGCCTGACGGTGGAGAGAGGATGGCGGCCTAGATCCGAGATCTGCAGGCCAAGGTGGAGGATAAATATTAAATGTTGCTCTTCCTGTAGATAATGGTTAAAGTGCGAAACAATTAGACGATATACTATGCGAAAAGCATATGATGATAATTGATAAAGTTTAAAATAGTTATGTAATAAACTGTGCGACAAAACATGCGAACATAATTGATAAAGTGCGAAACAAATATGCGAAAGACGAGCGAAGATAATTGATGCGAAAAGCTATGCAACAGACAGACAAAAAGTAATTGATAAAATGCCAAACAATTATGTGATACAATGTTGCTATAAAACCAACTGGTGGTTCCCTTATGGAACCAACACCCAATGATTTTGCTTCATAAGGGAACCAACCAGTTGGTTTTATAGCAACATTGTTATGTGATAAACTATGCAAAAACATGCGAAGATAATTTGATAAAGTGCGATATAGTTAGGCCATTAACTATGCGACATAACAGGCGAAGTTAATGGATAAAGTGCGATTAACATTTGTTCTTTTGAGATGGCTTTTCTTTCCTAGATCCTGTAAAATTTCATTACGTTTAAGACTGTTGAAGTATTTGATCATTCGTAATTCAGCTGCGTCTATTGTGGAATTTTAGCTTTATGGCAGCTGAGTTTTCATTCAATTGCTGACCTGTTGCCCCTTATCTTGTTTTCGATTTTTTTTTTATAATAATTCTGCTATGTGTTTCTCTTATGTTTGTTAAGAGTTCCATGCTAAGTTTATTCATTTGAAATGATGGTGACGTTTTTTATAATTTTTTCAGTAGAATTTGGACTACACTAAGCATTATGATGGAATATCAAGACAATCTTTCTTCAGAGAGCGCCCTTTCTGGCTACTGTGTACCTTTTATTACTGCAGTAACTTACATGGTATTTTGCATTTCAAATGCACATGTTTTGGGTTGAGCCGTCGAGGGCCCTTTAATTTATTTGTTCATTCTGCATTTTATTATGGTTTATACTAACTGTTGGTGGGATTTAATTTCCTGATGTTTTGTTGATAGAGATTGAGTTTCATAGAGATGTCAGATTGTCATTTTCCAGCAATTTGTAGTCTTCTGTGCTTTTGACTGCTTCAAATTTGCACTTGAAACTTGAAATCCTAAATTAGTCATGACTTTATATTCTATATAACATAAAATGAACCACGTCATGGCCGTGCGGTTCAAGGCGTAGCATTGGAACCAGAGATGATGTGATTTGATTATTTTTTATTTCCCTTTTTTTATGAGAATATATCTTCTCACCCTGTAACCTGCATTGTATCTGCTGTCCGCAATCAAGAAAGTAGGAGCTTAGTAGCTATGCAAGAGCACGTTAAGTGAGCGAAGATGCTTTCTGTATTCTATTTCACGTTTCAGGATCACCGAATAGATAGGCAAAGCGTCAGATGTGGTTGAGTAGTGATTGGAAAATTGAAAAAAGTTTTATTTTTGATCATTTTTAAAAGCTGCGAGACTATTAGTATTTTCTGGATTCCGTTGGGACAAAAAATGTCACCCCTATACATACCTGTGGGACTAGTTTTGAATTTTTCCCTAAGGATCATCAATATCCTCATCAGACTACGGAAGCAGGCAGGCAATCGAGAAGGCAAAGGATGTAATCGAGCTTAATCCCCCATTTCTGAATTGGGCTACTTGCTAGGGTTCAATTTTATTTTAAAAGAAGCAAAGTCTTATTATCATCACCCGTCTCTCTCATACTTTAAAGCGAGTCGATTTCATCCATCCTTATTCCTTTGGCTGCCCCACCAGCAGCCCGTGTTTCCGACCCGAAAGGAATTGAAAATGAAAGAACATAGCAGGAATGCCTTCAACAATTACAGTTTGTTTGCAAGCTTGCCAAACTCTGTTTTCAGATACCTTGCTAGCTTAGTAAGGCCTGAGCAATAAATTTGACTCATTGACATGGTTCTCCCTTGATATAAACTAATTTTGAGAAAACCATGCCGGAAGTGGAAGCTGGAAAAATTCCTCTCCAAGATCTCCAGGACCAAGGAGGGTCCATCCCTAATAAGGCACCATTTTAACCTATATCACTCACCATAAAAGGGCGCCAAACTCAATTTTTATATTGTTAAGATGCCACCTTAGGGCCGAGCGCAAGTCGTGCAGTCTAGGGGGTGGAGGGACACCACTACGACTCCTCTCTTCTCGAGAATCCATACATTCCTTATCAGTGCATGGACATCTATCTCTGGAGCACATGTTTAGGTTCGGCCTCAATGGGAATAAAAAATGGGATTTTTTTTTTCAACCTCCTAAAGTATGCCATTTTTTAGAGTTTGACATAAAAAATTTATTTTTTGACAATTTGTCTCTCAATGTAATCGAAACTGACAATTTGCCTCCTCAATTACAAATCCTAATATGCCACAAAAGAGTTTTTAAGTCAATTAACGATAAATTCTTTAAAACTAATTTAGCGCTTTCAAAGTCCATGACGAGAGGAACAAAATGAGGTATAATTTGTCGAATTCTGAAAATTGATACCTCTATAATCCATCCATGAAGATAGTAAGAGCACGTGTACATAGAAAAAATTACAATTCAAGTTTTATGATAATCGAGATATCCGATTTTCGATTGAGAAATGTCATTTGAAAGCTTGTAGGACCAATTTTTAACGCGTAAATCTTATGAAAATGGTTGGATTTTGATCAGTATTTTAGAAAACTACTGATCAATAGTTAGTTTAGTAAATGTGACCTAACAGTGGGAAAATCTGTTGCTTTTCCTTTATCAGACAATGGCAGCTTCAGGAGACTCATGGGTGAGAGAATATAATGAAGCAATCAAACTTGCTGATGACATAACCAACATGATATCTGAAAGGAATTCACTGCCAGCATCCGGGCCAGAAGCCTAGCGGCATGCTTCGGCCATACGGAGGAAAATCACCATACTTGGAACCAGACTGGCCAACCTACAGTCTCTTCTGTCAAAGCTTCCTGTCAAGCAATCTTTGGGAGTTACAGAATTACAGCCCCTTTATTGTGAAGAGCTGTAAGCGTGTTATTAGATTGTAAACCAGATGGCTTCTACTCTGAACACGTCAAATTCTGCAAATAGAGACAGCTTACTTGGCCCTGAGATGAAGCATGTTGATGCAATGAGCAGAATAAGTGGCCTCGATAACCATGGTGTCGTTGGTCTTCAACGACAAGTCATGAAAGGCTAGTTGCTGGGACACATTTCTCGACTCTTATTTGGAAATTTTTCTTTTTATTATTTATCCTTTTGAAAGTCGTTTATTTTCTGTCTGTATATTATAATCCCTGCAGAACAAGATGAGGGTCTTGAGAAATTGGAGGAGACCGTGATCAGCACCAAACACATTGCACTGGCAGTTAATGAAGAGCTTGATTTACATACAAGACCAATTGTTGGTTATCCTTTTTTATCCTTTTATATATAGTATACTCAGTTACCTAATAAAGCCAATAATGTACCAGGCTTGGGTTTCCATTCTTCTGATTGGATCAGGCCAACCACCAGGCTATTTGAGGTCCATTATGATGCCGTTTACCCAGATTCCCAATCTGTCAGGTCATGGAGGTTCTTGGGCGTCCGTAGCAGCAACCTGTGGACTGATTACCGAACCATAAGGTAGATTGGGTACGAGATGGTACCGGCGATTCCGACACAACAAAACACACCTCAAGAAGAAGGAAGCAGGTTGCCGGCGACAACAACAGGTGCTCCAGCAGGCGAGCAGGTTGTGACGCTCGCCAAGGATGAGCTCAACCGGATGATCGCAGAAGATGTTGCAGACAGGTTCGTTCAACCGCAGGTGTTGAGTGCAGTGAACCTCATTGTACCGAAAAGGAAAAAGTGTTGAGTCAAAATAATTGGTCACCGCCCACTCCTTTTGGCAGGAGCATTTTTTAAAGAATAAGACAACCACTTTTTTCTACAAATTGTAGCAGCCCACTGGTGTTGAAAAAAAAAAGGAAGCAACACGTAGATGCATTTTGCTGAATATTGAGTACACAAAAGTGGAAAGAAGGTGTACTCTTTCCTCTATAAATTGAGGAGCAAATCCTGATGAACAACAACAACCAAATACAAGAAATAAAAAAGAGAGCGAGAGAGCTAATAGAAGTTTAGCTTTTGTGTGTATTTGAGTTGTGAGTTGTGAGTGAGTTTGCGAGTGTTTTGTAAACACGAGTGTTTTCTTTCTCCTAATGAAATATCTGCAGTAGTCCGGAGACGTAGGCATTATTGGCCGAACTCCGTTATCACATTGGTGTGTCCAATTTTTTTTATTTCACTTTTATTGATCCGACTTCATGGAAATTTCAGCGTATTTTTCCCAACAACTGGTATCAGAGCCAGATTATTAATTCTGTAATTTTTTTGTGTGTTTTACTATTCCGTAAATAGTGAAAAATGGGAATAGTGCCAAATTTGTCGGCGCTACAAATTTATCTACCGACGTGTTCTGAAACATGGTAGCTCACAAAATTTACAGAAACGATCCAGCAGAGAAGTCAGATCAGAGTCGAAGTGATGGCTGCAGACGAAGGAAAAATGAAAATTGAAAAGTTCGATGGCGCGGACTTTAGCTTCTGGAAGATGCAGATCGAGGATTATCTGTACCAGAAGAATATGTATCAACCACTCACGGGAAAGAAGCCAGAGGACATGAAGGAGGAAGAATGTAGTCTCTTTGACAGACAAGCCCTTGGAGCCATTCGGCTGACGTTATCCCGTAATGTTGCTTTTAACATTGCAAAAGAAAAGACGACAGCAGGCCTCATGAAGGCTCTTTCCAACATGTACGAGAAACTATCAGCCTCAAATAAAGTCCATTTGATGAGGCGATTGTTCAACCTGCGGATGAGCGAAGGTGCTCCGGTGGCAAATCATCTCAATGAACTCAACACAGTTACAACCCAGTTGAGTTCAGTTGAGATCGAGTTCGATGATGAAGTACGGGCTTTAATACTTTTGTCTTCCCTACCAGAAAGCTGGAATGCTACAGTCACAGCTGTGAGTAGCTCATTGGGAAGCAATAAGTTGAGATTTGATGATGTCCAAAATTTTGTTCTCAGTGAAGAGATCCGACGGAGGGAGTCGGGTGAACCATCAACCTCTTCTGTATTGCATACAGAGTCGAAAGGACGAAGCTTAACCAAAGAAATCAGACATATCAAATCAAAGGGAAGAAGATCCAGGTCCAGAAATCATCGTAGTTTCCAAAACTTGAAGTCGATCGAGTGCTGGAATTGTGGGAAGACCGGGCACTACAGAAATCAGTGCAAGAGTGCACTGAAGGGCCAGGAGACAAAAGAAGAGGCAAATTTTGCTTCAGTCTCAAGAGGAGACACGCTGATATGTTCTTTGGAGAACAGAGAAGAGTCTTGGGTGTTAGACTCTGGAGCATCCTTTCATGCTACCTCACAGAAGGAACTATTCGAGAATTATGTTCCTGGAAATCTTGGTAAAGTTTACCTTGGTAATGAGCAATCATGTGAGGTTGTCGACAAAGGTACAGTAAAAATCAAGTTGAACGGGTCTGTTTGGGAATTGAAAAATGTCAGACATATTCCCGACCTGACGAAGAATTTAATCTCGGTGGGCCAGCTAGCCAGTGAAGGCTACACGAAAATCTTCCACGGAGACGATTGGAAGATTTCAAAGGGTGCGATAACAATTGCACGAGGCAAAAATAGTGGTACTCTTTACAATATAACAGGAGCATGTCATCTGATTGCTGTTGCAGCAATTGAAAATCCCAATCTATGGCACCAAAGACTTGGGCATATGAGTGAAAAAGGGATGAAGATCATTCACTCAAAAGGAAAATTACCAGGCCTCCAGTCAATAGAAATTGACATGTGGTGAAGGTTGTATACATGGAAAGCAGAAGAGAGTCAGCTTTCAGACAAGTAGAAGAACCCCAAAGAAGGAGAAGCTTGAGCTCGTCCACTCCGATGTTTGGGGTCCAACGACTGTCCCATCCGTTGGTGGGAAGCAGTACTTCGTGACTTTTATCGATGATCACTCCAGAAAGGTATGGGTTTACTTTCTGAAACACAAGTCAGAAGTATTTGAAGCTTTCAAGATTTGGAAAGCTATGGTGGAGAATGAGACAGGCTTGAAGATCAAGAAGCTCAGATCCGACAATGGTGGTGAATACGTAACCACCAGATTCAAGAAGTTTTGCTATGAGCACGGGATCAGAATGGAGAGAACCGTGCCTGGTACGCCTCAACACAATGGTGTAGCTGAGCGTATGAATCGAACGTTGACTGAAAGAGCCAGAAGCTTGCATGTGCAGTCAGGCCTACCAAAGCAGTTCTGGGCAGAAGCAGTCAACACATCAACTTACTTGATCAACCAAAGTCCATCGGTACCACTGGATCACAAGTTACCAGAAGAGGTATGGAGCAGAAAAGAAGTAAAACTCTCACATCTTAGAGTTTTCGGGTGTGTAGCATATGTGCACATCAGTGATCAAGGCAGAAACAAACTTGACCCAAAATCAAAGAAATGTATTTTCCTTGGTTATGGTGAAGATGAGTTTGGCTACCGCTTATGGGATGATGAAAACAAAAATATGATCCGCATCAGAGATGTCATCTTTAATGAAAGAGTGATGTACAAGGACCGGCATAACACAAGTGCCAGCAACTCAGAAGCGAGTGGGCCAGTTTATGCAGAGGTGGAAGATATCCCAAACATTCCTATAGTAAGGAATCCTCTGTCAGAGGAATCAAATGAAGAAAGCGGTGAGCAATCAGAACCTTCTACTTCAACTCCTGTATTGAGAAGGTCCTCTCGGCCCCATGTAACTAACAGGAGATACATGGACTACATGTTGTTGACCGATGGAGGAGAACCTGAAGATTATTGGGAGGCTTGTCAAACCCCGGATGCTAGCAAGTGGGAGCTTGCCATGAAGAACGAGATGAAGTCCTTGATCTCAAATCAAACATGGGAACTAGTCAAGTTACCTATGGGAAAGAAAGCACTTCACAACAAATGGGTGTATCGGGTGAAGGAAGACCATGATGGTTCCAGGAGATACAAAGCCCGACTAGTTGTCAAAGGATTTCAGCAGAAAGAAGGAGTTGACTATACTGAAATCTTTGCTCCAGTTGTAAAGCTCAATACTATCAGGACTGTGTTAAGTATTGTGGCTAGTGAAGAGCTCTACCTAGAGCAGTTAGACGTGAAGACTGCATTTCTTCACGGAGATCTAGATGAGGAGATCTGTATGCACCAACCTGAAGGTTTTTCTGAAGGAAAGAAGAATATGGTGTGCAGATTGAAGAAAAGCTTGTACGGCCTGAAACAAGCTCCAAGACAGTGGTATAGGAAGTTCGAAAGCTTCATGCACAAGGAAGGATTCCAGAAGTGCAATGGTGATCACTGTTGTTTCTTCAAGAAATATGAGTCCAGCTATATCATATTGCTACTCTATGTCGATGACATGTTAGTAGCGGGATCAGATATGAAAGACATCAGAAATTTAAAGATGCAGTTGTCAAATGAATTTGACATGAAGGACTTAGGCCCAGCAAAAACGATTCTTGGAATACAGATCACGAGAGATAAGCAAAAGGCAGTTTTGCAGTTATCTCATGCAGAGTACATCAACCGTGTTTTGCAGAGATTTAACATGGACAAGGCCAAGCCAGTCAGTACACCTTTGGCCAGCCATTTTCGTCTATCCAAGGATCAGTCTCATCAAACAAAAGAAGAAGAAGAGTTCATGGTTAAGATTCCTTATGCTTCAGCCATTGGAAGTTTGATGTACGCGATGGTCTGTACGAGGCCAGACATTGGCCATGCAGTGGGAGTTGTGAGTAGGTTTATGTCGAACCAGGAAAAGCTCATTGGGAAACAGTCAAATGGATTTTAAGATATCTACGAGGCACAACAGAAAAATGTTTGTATTTTAGAAAAGGAGATCTAAAGTTACAGGGCTACGTAGATGCAGACTTTGGAGGTGAAGTTGATCACAGAAGAAGCACCACTGGTTATGTTTTCACTGTCGGAGCTACAGCTGTTAGTTGGATGTCGCGGATACAAAAGATTGTTGCTCTATCCACTACAGAGGCTGAGTATGTAGCAGTGACAGAAGGCAGTAAAGAATTGATATGGCTTCAAGGATTGTTAGCAGAGTTGGGTTTCACTCAAAAAGAGAGTGTCTTGCACAGTGACAGTCAGAGTGCAATACATCTGGCAAAGAACTCAGTGTTTCACTCCAGAACTAAGCACATTGACATACGATATCATTTCATCAGATCTCTGCTTGAGGATGAAGTGTTGACTTTGAAGAAGATTGTAGGAAGCAAGAACCCAGCAGATATGCTAACGAAGGTGGTGACCATTGACAAACTGAAGTTGTGCTCAACTTCAGTTGGACTGCTAGAGTAATAGACCGGAGAAGACTACTGCAGTAATTGAGGTGTGAGGATAGATTGAAATCAGTCCTCAAGTGGGAGATTGTTGAGTCAAAATAATTGGGCACCGCCCACTCCTTTTGGCAGGATCATTTTTTAAAGAATAAGACAACCACTTTTTTTCTACAAATTGTAGCAGCCCACTGGTGTTGAAAAAAAAAGAAGCAACACGTAGCTGCATTTTGCTGAATATTGAGTACACAAAAGTGGAAAGAAGGTGTACTCTTTCCTCTATAAATTGAGGAGCAAATCCTGATGAACAACAACAACCAAATACAAGAAATAAAAGAGAGAGCAAGAGAGCTAATAGAAGTTTAGCTTTTGTGTGTATTTGAGTTATGAGTTGTGAGTGAGTTTGCGAGTGTTTTGTAAACACGAGTGTTTTCTTTCTCCTAATAAAATATCTGCAGTAGTCTGGAGACGT